CACAGCTCTTGCACAAAACATAACACATAAGGCATAAGAAATTCAATCAATCAGAGTTCTTTATTTCATAAAAAGGAAGGAAATAAAGAACTTCGATTGGTACATTTTTTTATGCATTATGCAAGAGTCTGTGCTTCCTGTCTTAATCAGATTTAATACATTCGTAATTACAATTAAATCAATCACAGTCATTCCATTCATCAGAGAAATAATTATGATTGGCCATTTTCATAACTATATACGGATGTTATTCAGTTATTACATCCAATGTCTATGTAAAGGCCGCAACACGAATTTTTACATAACGTATAAAGGAGCCTACAGACCCAGAGCGACGCAGCGGTGAAACGGCGAGCGATAGCCAATGAGGGCCATGCTTTTACGCAAAAGCATGGCTCTCATTGGCTATCGCTCGCCGCTTCACCACTGCGCCGCTCTGGTCTGTAGGCTCCTTAAGGTAACAGCCAACCAACGTTCTTTCGCATTTTTCTGTATACCTTTCCCGTATATGCGTTTACGGCTATGGTCGTGTTGCCTGTATTGTCACTACAAATGCTTCGAAAGGGAATTGGTTTCCTTATATTACATTCTTTTTCAATTTTAGGACCCACTAAGGCAAACAGTTTATCAAAAATATCCACCTGCATTCTGAAATAATTAAAATATAACGATGAGTCTATTGTAACTAAATTATTATTGTCTCCTTGAAGAAGCTGTTGTGCCACAGTATTAAATTTTGGTTTAATCCATACACTTCTTTGAACTTTTTTCTTTGATATTGTTTCATACATAATATAAACATAGTTTGGTTAACGTTCATCTCACGTTCTTCTTTTTATAAAGTAACATCGGAGTTCTCTCATATCAAATTTTATTAAAATTTTAATAGCTTCTTGTAACATCAACAACTTATCCATTTTTAATCTTTACTCCAAAATTCTAGACAGATCAATAATGACGCTTACGTATGATTTTAGCCTGTGATTTTAGCCTACATGATACGGGAAAATAACCAAAAATTCGTCATAGAATTCAAAAACAATTTTTACAATAATATAATTTTAAATAAAATTTGTTCAATTCTGTCGCAGTAATGTTTATTTCAACATTTTAAATAGTGTACTTAAATAAAATTAACAAATATTATTGTTTTGGTGAAACAATTATTTTATTAATTATATATTTATTTCCCGGAATACGTCATTTTCGGGTCTTTCACGCACTGTATGCACAGGGCACGAAGCGTGCGGGATAGAAATATGCGGAAGAGCGCTGATTGGCTGTTTCAATTACGCATCCTTTATCCTGCATGCTTAATTATTCCCGTACCGTGTGATTTTACTCTACCGTAGTGCATAAGCGAATCAATCAATCAGGATATCGATTATGTAACCTTTTTCATGTTTCCACCCTAGAGAAAAAGTTACATGAACTTTAACTTATTTTTAACATCTTTGTCGGCTTTTTTGTTGCATGAAAAAATTGCCCATGTATATATATATATATATATATATATACACGGGGAATTTATATACAGGTACACAATAAAAGTTAGTACATTTGTTAATATTCGAGTTTTATTACGAGATTATGATTTCCAACGTATAACGTAATATGAATTAGAATATATTAGGAGTACAAATTAGTTCGGTCCGTTTCAAAAAGATGATCGCCTCCAAAGACAAGTTATTTTTTCGAGATGGAATTCGAAAATTGCCTGATTGGAAAAAATAGTAGCCAGCGATGGACAATACTTTAATTAATCTGTTCATTTATTTTGTTTTGAAATAAATTTTTGAATACGAAAAACGGACCGAACTAATTTGTACACCTAATAGTAAAAGATATCTCTCTCTCCCTCTCCCTCCCCTCCCTACCCCTTTCCTCTCTCTCTCTCTCTCTCTCTCTCTCTCTCTCGGTATGCAATTCATAATATTGAAAATTATCATGGACAGATGCACATATGTGACTGAAAAAAGAATTCATAACTTCAGTGAAATAAACAGATGCATCATTTAATTAATAGGGCGAACTTTTTAATTCATCGATTGATCAACCGATGAATTAAAAAAACTCACCTATATATAATTCGATCGAAAGTTTTCGGTTTCAGGCAAAGCAGGCCGAATTTCACACGTGGCGCGCGAACCACCCTGTATTTTTATGAATAAATAAGATATTTAATAAAAAAAAGAAGTAAATCTGAAGTCTGTTTGGAGATGCCTTTCATAGGGATTATAAATGTAGATAATATATTATACATATTGAACATAAATATACTATATTATTATATATAAATATATATATATAGTAAGAAGTAAATAGAATTATTATATATATATATATATGATGAAAATAATATTATTACGAGTAAATAAACCGATTAAAGATTAATAAAAAAAATGTGTGCGCTATTTAATTGTACGATACCCTTTCTTCTCCACGATTTCTTCCTTGTTCATATTTTACTGTATTTGTTCTTGCTATCAATATATCGGGAACATAATGGACAATATTAGCAAGTGCGATTTTTTGCGCATTTTTATTACAGACGTTTTTCATTACATTAACATAACAAACTCTATACTTTCAAGGTACATGATGATCGTTTTAAAATGGTGTCTACCTGTGAGATCTTTAAGGATTATGCGCAGTGTTCAAACTCCCGCATGGAGCACATTAAGCTAAATTAGTCTTCATTATTTTATTTTATTTTGCAAGTTGTCTTTATTTGTTCTCTCTCTCGCGAGCTTACCGATTATTAACATCGAGTTGCCGCAAGCGCTTGGACACTTCGATAAGATTAAAGCGATCACAGACAGAGGCATTCCGGTAGACGAAACGCCGTGAACACCCCGATAGTAGATACAGAGGCTAATACTTTTTTTTAAGAATTTCTATGTTACCCGTATCATATGTAAGGTGTTCCCGTCGTCGCGACACCTGTTTCACGACTCGGAGGCTGCAAATGTAGCGAGTCGAGTTTGTAACGCAAACTCCGTGTCCTGATTCGTTCTAGATGCGCTCATTTACCTAATGTAATGCGTTACTCGTGTAAAGTGTCGCGCAGTTGTTAGTTGTGTAATAATTGTAGTACAAATAGTGAATATCTCGCGTACGTGAGTTGTAAAAATGTAAGAGTAGACCTAAAAAGTAGTAAAATCGTAAAACGTAAACATCATAGAAAAGTTTCACGAAAAAGTAGATTTGTTTCCAAATAATAGAGCGGAAAATTTATAGAATAAAAAAAAAAAGAGGTAATAAAAATTTTCTTATACGCATTCTCGTTAAGCTCTGGTATTTATATGATTCTTCGTCCTTATGTTAGTTCGTCTATGATTATCTGTGTCAATAAGAAAGTGATTATATTTCTAGTAGACCGTCATGTTATAGTTCTGAAGGCACTGTTCAAAAGTTTATTGTATTTCTTGAATTATAACGGGTCCTCACAAAACTTGTTCGACAAGGAGAGTCGTTATAAACATCGACATAACCATTGCACCTTCGGTCTATATCACAAAATTCAAAATAGTTAGTCTCAACTTGACAGCCTGTGCCACAATGCCAATGCCATATTTGTTGGGTCTGTGATCGGTTAGGAATTATCGTGAGCTAGCAAAAATCGATGGTCAGAATTCAGGCTTATGATACGCAATGGCCGGTGCATTTCCATTATGTTATATTAATATCGTATCATTATATTACACAAACGCTTATTAATTTAGAGGCACATTACTAAGGGTCTCGGTTTTTTTTTCTTTTTAAGTTGTTCCCTACATTAATGAACTTATGACAATTAGCTAATTATGATTAATACGACAGCGATTTGGCATATGATATTGGAAATTGTACAAAGATTCAGAGAATGCAATAGTATTTGAAAATATTGCTTTGTACGTATATGTATATAGAGAAGAGAAGTGTGACGAATGAATGGTGAATATTTTTCTTGAAAAAAAATATCAATATGTGTCAAGATAGTTTAGCGATATTTGAGCTCAAAATTTCTTAAAATTAAGCGTAAAAAATGTCATGTGCTAAAAATAATAAGAGAACTTTCTATATATAGATGCTATAACAATTCCGCTATCGGATTTCCTTACCTAAACAGGAAAACTTTGGCTACTGCTACATGCTATTTGTACTTCGGCGAAAAAGGGCCGAATTTACGATTCTTGCTAAGAACACTGATTGCGTATTTAAAAAAAAAAAAGAACAGCACGCAGTACACACAGTACCTAAATCAGCAACAGATAATTTATATGTTTGGGAAGACCTTAACAGTACTATATATGTTCACGCTTTAATAAACCTGAATTCTATACGCACGATTGTAAATATCAGAGAAGCATTCACTGTACTCAGAAAGTGCATTTCTTGCCGGAATGTTTAAATGTGATATTTCTTTTTCTTTTTATTCATACACGTATTGGACTATATGCATTATTCGCGCTCATAAAAATTATTTAAAAGCTTTTAATTTTTTTAACATTTAAGTCCAGAATGCTGCTCTGAGATATATGAATGCTCTACAGAATGTACATAGTAGACAGCAAAAGCGTCTAGACCACAGAATGTTCACATTTGTTCTGATGCAAAATATTGTTTTCTTTTTTCTCGAGCTATGAAAATCAGGCTGATGCAATGGCAGATACTATATATATATATATATATATATGTGTGTATATATATAAAAGTTAGCTTTACACATGTAAAACCCGATAAAGTTCTTAAAAAATCTAAAGAACATTCCCTGAATAAGAGTAATCACATGATAATTCAGTCCTCTAAGTATCATACTTTGATCATAGAACGCATCAAACAATTTCAAAGGAATTAAAATTTTCTAGAGTAATATGTATAATTGGTTTGTAGTACAGTTTCACGAATGTATGGTTCCGTCATGGTACCAGCCTGGATCTGGTCAATCGAATCATGTAATTCCGTAGAGTCTAGACACAGACATTTCTCTTCTTCATCCGTACAGCCACTAAGATAGATCACAAAAAATACGGAGTGGGCGTTAAAGGTGGAATTACTCTCTCGGAATCAGGCACTGCCTGGAACAGCACGGGTGTTCTCTGATCAACTGTTGTGAATTGCATGATACTAGCTATGTTACCACATCGATAACAATAATTTGGCGCTGACCATACTGTGACGAGTTTGTCATTAAACATGTACCTGTAACCTGCAAGACGAAAGAAGATATACATATTATCAGTAAATATTTTTAAAAAATTAATTCAAATGGTGAAATATTAATTAAAGTATTTATAAGCAAAGACAAACACACACATACCTTCCTGAACTAGTTGGTGTGCTCTACAGATGAGTTTAAGATCATTCACTTCCATGAACATATAAGTCACTTTACTGCCAAATAGCCAACCTGCGCCACGTGGACTTACCGTCCATGTTTCTACATCCTCTGGATCAGACCAGACCAAATCACAGAAAGCACCTGTAATTAAGCAAAGATGTTTGATTATCATAATTTATTATATATGTTATTACCTGACAACAATATAATATATCCAGGTAACGTAATTTCTATTTTACACTGAAATATTATATAGTTAACTTTATCTAGAGCACTAGATTATGTACACCCAAACTGTATATAACAGACATTCATAAGCTGTAAGGATGGGGAAGACTAAAAATAGGGGTAAAAGAAAGTTTCACATTACCACACTAATTCCCTACAGTAAGTTCTAAGGATCAAATAAGTTTCTTACAGACGTTTTTTTATTTATTTGATTGTTGAGTTCGGTATAACAAAAATATGTTTTTTGAATATTATTGAAACAATAGAATTTTCTCTCTAAGTATAATGTACAATTACTTTTGACATCCAATTAGAAAAATTTCCAGTTTTCCCCTCAAAATTACAAATTGATAAAAAAAAAACCGTGTTTTTGCAAATTGAAGCATTTTTTCTTTTTTCTTAAATGTTTTCAACATGTTCAATTTTTTTATTTTTCCATACCAATTCATTCTTCTTTTTGAACCTTTTTTGGTGTATCAATTGTAAAAGTTATTCAAATTCTATGCATTACATACGCGATTGAAAACGTCGGGGTAACACATCTATGTGCTCTAAAATCTCAAATTAGATATTAGTGTGCTATATAGTTAATATACCTTTGTGTGGAATCTCTTGATTCCTTTCAATCGTTCTAATTTGATCTAGTGTTCTAATAGCCGGAGACAATCCACCATGTACACAAAGAACCTGTTCATCAATTAACTAAAACAGAATTTTATTAAAGTGTACGAAAATATAAAACGATGTAATTTTTAAAAGATCTTTTATACAAATACTTACGGCAGCAACTGTGAGCAAGTCAAATACCCTACAACAGTACTTCCAAGCATTAGCATTGCCGTACTTATTTTGGCATTCATCTAGAATAGACAATAAAGAAAACAATGTATGAAATCAAAGTTGTGTTGTATATAAATGCAGAACATTAGAAAAGAAAATATTATCATGTACTTACCATAAAATCCATAAACATGTGTAATTTGTCTAGATTCATGATTACCACGTAGTAATGTTATCCTGTCAGACCATTTAGCTTTAAGTGTGAGCAGACGAGTAAATGTTTCTAAACTGTAGTATCCCCGATCGACAAAATCTCCTAGGAATATATAATTTGTATCTGGTACAGGACCACCATTGCGAAACAGTTCTTCTAAATCATAGAACTGCAATAGCAGAAGAACATAAATAATCTGAAGTGTATTCGTATTATAAATGTATAATTATTAGTAGTTATAAAATATTAGGATCATAAGTGACTTTAAGATAGATTGTAGGACAAATAGATCTAGAAACACAGTAATATCTAGGTGCCAAGACAAGTATAGTGATACGACCGCATTCTTTTTAATAATAAACGGATAAATATGATGAATCTGTTGCAACGATATAATTTGGAAAGTTAAAACCTTAAAGTTTGTCGATTCCGTAGCAATGAACGATAATGCTTTGATTTTGAGGTTAGGGCTCACATCCGGAACTTACCTGACCGTGTATATCGCCGCATACCGTCACCGGAGTAGATACAGGCTGGATGTTTGATTCCTCCAGTAACAAATCACATACCACGTCACAGAGTTTCTGTTGATAACGATAAAAGTTAATGCGATAAGTAATTCGAGAGGTAAAACGCGTAAATTGCTTAGGTGAGTAACCTAATCAACGCTTGTGTAATCGCGCGATCGTTACTGCGCAGAAAACAAACCGACCGGCACATATCGTACTATTTACCTTGAGATCATTCTCGGGCAAGTATTTGCATTCTTTCGCGATCTCTATCCATTTATCGACGTCTGACATTTTGGAATCGCACGGTAGGAAAATAGCAATACTGATCGCGCCCCCATACAGCTACGTAGTCTCCGTGTCCGATCGGCTCGATGCTGCTGGATACTGGATCTCACAATTTCACAGAGAGTCACAGAGAACTGAGAGCTGAGAAAGCACCTGACAATTAATATCCGAGATCCGAGCGGATTCGCGAGTGGCATTAAATTGGACACGTATTATACCATGGTATAAAACCTAATCTACATTGGTCACATCATAAGCGTCGAAGTCTCGTAGATCGCAAGCATAGATTTGTTTAAGCCCATGGCACATAGGGTACGGTTAAAGTCTCGCTAGAAATGCTTTGAAGCGTTTGATTGACCAATCAAAAGAAAGAACTTTTCAAATTGACCAATCAAGAAACGCTTCGAAGCATTTGTAGCATCGCGTTGACCGTACCCATATTAAGGTGCCATGCAGCGAAGAAAAGTTGGCGTTTTACCCCCCATCTGCAAACGTCTAGGAAGTCACTACAAAATCAGCAATAATCCATCATTACTTTGCAGTTACAATGTTTTATCATTATAAGCGGAACGTATTATTAATTTTAAAATTGTTATTATATATCTTGTAAGTGAATCTTCTTTTCTTTTTCTTTTGGTTATACCATATATATATCATTATATTTTTATATTAATGCTTACAGAAATGGCTACATTAACAGTGGTATATATTTCTAATAATTTTATCCATTAAACAAATTTTGAAGTCTGAGGAGGACTCAATTTTAGAGTCGAAACTATAGTTACATTACCTTTCAAGTAGATTTCAAGTAGTTTTTTGTAATCATATTTTTAACAATTTTGTATTCTTAGTTTAAAATTAAATATGTCAACATATCCATACTGTTTGTAACTTTAATCTTAATTAATATAATATATAATATAATATAATATATAATAAATAATAATATATAAAAATACATAAAATAATACATAATAATATATAATAATACAATAATATTAATAATACATGCACTGACCTCGTCGATAAAACTCATTTTTCTCTTTTACATATTTACTTAAATTTACGATTTCAACACAACCGTTGGGACACTCCGAACTTCAGCGTAAAATCGACAGCTCTCGAGTGCTCTCGAGCCGTCAAGCGCTGCTTGGCATTATGGTAGAGTGGGGGTAAAACGCCAGCTTTTCTTCGCTGCATGAAATGAGAGTCATCAGAGAAGCGCAACCGATGTTCCGCGTCCTGATTCGCTGATGACTGTCAGCCAATCATGACATTCATTCATTGGTATTAAAAATGGCTGACTAACAGACGATTGGTGGATTTCATAGTTCGTCTGAAAACGACGCCATTTTTAGTACTTTTCTTAGTAGTTTTGCGATACTGACTTAAGTCGGTTGTGTTTCTCTGATATCTAGGACTCTAGCGTCAACCAATCAAATCGTATCAAATTCTATCAGCTACTACACCTTATTCTAATTCAGACAATCTGATTGGCTGACTCAAGTTACGCTTATGCAAGTTATGCTGCATGTGAAAGCAGCTTGAAGCTGGAGTCCAATAACAGTGTGGTTGAAAAAAAAAGTTTTTTTTAGATGCGGCAAGTATAATAGAACATATAATGCCGGTTCTACATTAGTTGCAAGCCGATCGAAAGTTTGTTGCGACAGCCAATCTGAAGCGTTGATTTCAAAATGCAAGCTTGAGATTGGCTGTCGGAACGTTGCGATCGACTTGCAACTAATGGGTGCATCCAGAAGCACGACCGCTCATTGAGCGCTCAGTGAGCTTTTTTATCTGATTGACATATTCCATTAGATCTAAAAATTAAACCAAACAGATACAAGAGCTCACTGAGCGCTCCGTGAGCAGTTGTGCTTCTGGATGCACCTAATGGCTACGTTCAGCAAACTCAACAGTTAAGTGAGCGCTCGCTGTTATTGGTGTATTCTTTTAGATGATCCAATCAAATTTTAAATCTAGAAGATTACACCAATAACAGAGAGCGCTCACTCAACTGTTGAGTCTGCTGAACGTAGCCAATGTAGAACCAGCTTAAGGTGCGTTCTTTTATGGGCCTTCTACAATAAGCCATACTTAAGTTTTAAGTGTTAAATCATAAGAAATTTACCAATCACAATCGAATGTGAGAAGAATAATCGACTGTGAGTGGTCAATTTCTTATGACTTAATACATAAAACTTAGGTAATGGCTTATTGTAGCAGGCCTATTAGGCATCAGATACAACAGTTCTTGCAGTAATTCGTTCTTTTATCACAACTGCACAGTCGATTGCAGCGCAGATTTTCGTTCTTTTAGCAATGGATACGCAGTAGATACACGGACGATTAGAATTAGCTGCGCAGCCGGCTGCGTGATCGTATAAAAAACGCGCAACCGGCAAATCCGTTGCCTAAAAAAATGCACCCATAGTGAGACTATCGGATATAGAAATCGATATGACCGTTTTAAGAACGCTCTCATTTCTCTTTCTTTTTCTTTGTTAAGCTGGAAAAGAAAACGATCTAGTTTACATTTTCGTGTAAAATAATGGCATTTTTGTGTTTTGTGACTTTGAAAATTTTACTTCCTCATTATGGATATGGATCTATTCATTTTAACTACATCACGTTTTGGTTAAGTTAGGTTTTACCTCTTTGAAAACGAACTATAGTACACGTGGACATTTTTCATTCAGTAACACAAATTGATTTCAATTAATTCCGCTTTGATAGTGAGTCGATATATACTTAGAATTATACATAAAAGACTAGAAAAATTGACCTAAACCGAATTTTCTTTTTTAATTATATAAGAATTTAATTTTGATTTTATACAAATATGTTATTCTCGTCTTTCGAGAAAGAGAATGCATATTGTAAAAATATATTGTATATTTGGAACACACATATACATACAATTGTAACAAGTGACAATAGGAATTCATGATTAAAACTATATAGAGAGTTCTTTCTCAATATTTGTATCAATAAATTATTGCACGTATATTTAGCGCTAGACAATTAAGTAGATCGCGATTCTTGATACGTGTGCGCGCGCGTCAAAAACGTCCCAGATTGTAAACTGAGAGTTAACATTAATTTAAAATAACATAAAATAATGTAAGAGCTGGGCCGAGAAAAAATGTCGGACGCTCGAACGCGATGCCGGGACTCGAATCGAGGCCTCGTAGTAGTTCGTGTTAGCAATAAAGCCACCGTCTTGCCGCGGAGCCACACAGTCCGATAACGAGATCTTAGTTGATTTCTTACAATAATATGGCTTAAAAAGAATAACATTCAAAATAAATGAAAAAGAGCTATGAGCTAATACAATCTTGCATAATTCCAAGTATAAAATTAATAAATATAAAAATTGTATAAAACAATGTAAACAATCTTTTCTTTTCGTCATTATCAATGTTAATTAATTCAAATATTGGTTCAAAAATTCATAATATGTAATTACAAGATGAATTCTAATGAAAGAAAAAGTGAAGGTGTAATTATAAGGCAACATTTCGCCTGCTTATATATTAAAATAACAAAATACATATAATATGGCTCAAAAAGATCCATATTATATTTTATGTTTATATTTAAATTAATTAAAAATTTCGAATTCTCATAAAAAAGTAAAAAAAATAAAAAGTAAATTAAGATTAAAAGATGTATAACAGTACAAAAGCTAATTCAAGTTCTTCCGCACCTCGCATCGAGTATCGTCAAAAGCACACTCTAAACAAATAACAGCGAATCTAGAAAAAACTATATTCTTTGTAGCTGAGCTTCTGCGTACGCATAATTCATCTCTTTTCACCAAGGTGGTAACTGCAGGTGAGAAAAGGAGAAAAAATAAACTCTCCGCGCAAGAGAGAGAGAGAGAGAGAGAGAGGTTAATTTAAAAAGAATTATAGCATGAAGTGAACCGCGATCGCATTGATCGACTCGCGAACGTATCGGAAGTGAATATCGATTGCCAACCAAATTTCCGGTCGCTGTCGCGCGCATGCACGCGCGCAATTCGCACATACGAACAAATGAACGGACGGACGTGCGGAGTTAAAAAGGGCACAGAGCAGGTCAGAGCGCGTTGGAGCGCGTCGACGGACAATTCGTGTACGATATGGATTTTATCTCACCGCCGTGGAAGTAGGTCACGACGGCGACACATGTCACACATGGTGCTGGTTGGCGGCGGCACTGGTAACTTGTGCGCATGCTTCAATTATCGATTGAACTGCTCTTATGATGGGCTCTCTTGCAAGGCTGCGTTCGGAAACGTTGCCCGAGGGTGCCCCATCTTATCCTTGTTTAATTTGGATGAGTAACAAGAATAAAACGATATGTGGAGGAACTCGGGTAACGAACGCAGCCCACTGCCATCGTCATCCATTATCATCACCGCTGCCGTTGCGTATAGCCGCGAATCATTCTGAAATCGAACATTTACGCGCGGACAGTAAATACATATACAATACTTAACGTATGTATACAAGCGAGATTTCAAAATAGCATTCCTCAACGTGGTGCGCGTGCGCGCGCGCGCGCGCGCCCATGACGTGAGCAAGCGAGATCGAGCGATGCAAGATCAAGTGATTCGTGTTACCGCCACCGCCATTGCGACGGTGAAGATGTGCTGGTGAAGTTTGCCGTGGAAGAACGAGTTACAAGAGCCGTCAGCCAGACAAGCGGGCGGGCGGGCAGAGCGCGGCGTTCTTGAGGAAATCGGCCATTTTGCTTAGTGCACGCTTAGATCTCGTTACGTACGGTTTCGAGTTCGCCTCAAACAGTCACCCTTGTCGGACGGTCGTTGACAGAACGGCGGGCGGTGGCAGAACAGTAGCTCTCTACTCTTTCTAGGTGGTGCGCTGCAAGCACATCGGGATCACAGCTGTGGAGGAAAAAGAGAGAGAGAAGTAGTGTGTGTGTGTGTGTGTGTGTGGGTGCGTGCGTGCGTGCGTCGTGCGGCGTGTAATACGAACAGTGTAACGCGAATTACGCGACTCCGACTACAGGATGGCGGGCAACACGGGTATGGAACAGTTGATCCCGATCGTGAATAAACTGCAGGATGCGTTCACACAGCTCGGTGTGCATATGCAACTCGATCTACCGCAGATCGCGGTGGTGGGCGGCCAGAGCGCGGGCAAGAGCTCCGTGCTTGAGAACTTCGTCGGCAAGTGAGTAATCGCAGACTTCACGTTCACGTAATATAATCGCGTCAGTCTTCTTTCGCAGCCTCGGTTAATCGAACTTCTCATACAAACGGCATCGTTGTCTTGATTAGAATGAGTGAGAGAGAATGAGTGAGTGAGTGAGTGAGTGAGTGAGTGAGTGAGTGAGTGAGTGAGTGAGTGAGTGTCGTCGTTTATAAAGAATGTTAAGGGAATGTCTCGCACACAGCACGTAAACCATGTTTCTCGTTATTACGAGAAATATCTCAATTGTTACTCTATTGTGTGACTACTTAAAGGCGTACTCGATTGAACTTGATCGATCGATGCCTCTCTCCTCTAATCTCTCATACTCTGTTTTTCTATTAATATATATTAACTTTAATCTTGATTCAATTTACTTGTTATTTTTCTTTAGTTTTTGCGCTTGTAGTGCTGGAAATTGCTGCGAGATCTCGCTCGGACAGAGGAAGAAATAAGCAATCTTATTGGGTCAAATGACAACCCAATTGTTTAAATGTGATTTGTTCATTCTTTTTCTGTTTATATTATTGAAGTAATTTCCAATATATGTATATCGTGGACTTAAGAATTGGAAAACGGTAAAGAATAAATTAAATGACATTTCTATTATTATCAAAGTAGTTGATAGAAATGTGCGCACACATTAGATTTTACTTTTCTTGCCCTCTTCTTCCACGTTCTCTTCTTTCCCTTAATTTTTCCATGCAGATGTATATATGTTTTCTATTTTGAGCGCAGAAAGAGTAACTCAATTGTATTCACGAGACGAACAGGAGCAGCTTTTTATTTCGATTCGTCTTCGTCGTCGCTACGCAGCAAGTCTTAAAATTTGACGCGCGATTTCATTTCGATTCAACGCGACAGCGATAGCTTTTTATGCATGACATAAAGCAAGGCGAACAACGGAGCGACGACGGACGTTTGGACGGACGTCCGTGGGAAGAACGCCCACAAGTTGACCTGTCAAGTGTCTCCTTCGTGACATCGTCGCGGGAGTACTTCGAAGCTGCCCATTCATGCGCAAAACCGCCGGGCAAGATGATTCTATGCTCTCGTAGCGAATGTCTCTCCTCGTCATTCACGTAGTTCTCTGACGTTATTAAACGCATAACTAGCGATTATGCAAAATATGTCGAGATAAAAATAGTCAAAGAATAATGATTCAGGTTCTTAAAACTATTTATATGAATTCAACAAAATTTTGTGTTTAATTTTTGATCAATTCAGTTGGATACACTAGTGTGTATTAAAAAAACTGTTATATGTATATTGATTTAATCTGAGTGTAAAAGTGAAATGCAAGTATTATATATATATATATATATAAATTACAAAATATATATTTTATTTAACAATACAATAAAATGTATTGAGAATATATCTTATCGAACATATCTTTACGCACATCAATTTGTATATAATAGCTTTAATATGCACCACTGTGCATTGAGTGTGTCCAATCGAATCTGCTATTTATTTTCAACGCTCTTTTAATGTATGGTAATTTAAAGAAAATGTTATATTGCGGTGGGTGAAAGACATATACAAAGGAATATTATCTTTGTAAGTCTCGAAATTTCTTTTACAACATAGTTGATTTGTTTTTCTACCATGCATAAGATATGTTTGTTGAACATACATTGTCATGACAATGGTATTTGCTTTTAAAACAGAAGAATTGACTAATGAACTTTAACTTAATTCGAGAATAGTGATGATTTTTGCATTCTAAAAAAAAATAAAGTACAAGTTTTCTATTTTATCAGAGTAAAGGATCAAACTTGTATAAATTATATTGTAGTAATTTGATATTAATTGTGGTGTCATTTCTATGTCAGGTCGAAAGCTTTATCAACTATCCTCACGTACATAAAGATTTCAAATAAATTAATACATTGTACAGTATGTAATTAATAATAGTAACTTCTAATTAAAGTATAAAAAACATTCCAAGTAATTGTTTATCTAAAAAAAATTATTAGATGATTATTCTTGAATTAAACATGTTAGAAACAAACATTTTTGGGAGGTAGAATACAAAGAATGTTTAAGATAGATAAGGGGACATTAGATATAGACTTGGATTCTTTAGCTAGCTTTCTGTACCATTTATCTTTTCTCTTTTTTCCAACGTGAAGAGAAAAAGAAGAAGCATAAACTTTATAAGAAGTTCAGCTGAAAAGAACAGGCATTATGCATATTTTTTTTATCAGATAAAAGAAAGAAATATGTATTAAATAAGTGATCAAATCTTATTTAGCCTCGACCTTTGCCACAGATTGTACATATTACAGTCTATATTTAAACATATTAATTGCAATTATTTTAATTAATAATTAATTTATCATTAATCTTCAATAATTGCATATATAATTAATATTTGTACAAAATTAAAGTTAACTATAACAGTGAATACTTATTTTCCAGAGATTTCTTGCCAAGAGGTTCAGGCATTGTGACAAGAAGACCTCTCATCTTACAATTGATTAACTGCTTAACTGGTAAGTCGTAATGCGCATAGGTTACATTAAATTATTTTTTTATCTTATTTAATATATAATAATCAAAATATGAAATTATCTTACATATCTAATAATATTCTCGAAATCTCTGTTATTTTTTTAAAGCCATATATAAGAAATGAGTTTAAAGGGTGTGGAGTTTTCTCATATATACTGGTAATATCATCTTGTTAACCTATTGACCTGTACTCATAGCAAATATCTTCCTTTTAAGCAAGGAATGCATTAATGTATAATGTATTTACTCCATTTATGTATATGTCATTCTCTATTTGACCTTTCTTGAAAATCTTTTTATTATGTGATATTTATTATATTAAATGAATTTATAAGAAAAATTATTGACACTTTACATTTTATTGTTGCAGAATGTAGTATTAATAAATAAAATATAGATTAAAAGACAAGACTAATTAAATTATTTTGCCTTTTGAACTTTTATCAACAGGTTTATCACATATCCTGCATCATATACTTCCCTTAAAATTATGATAAGCTGTAAATTGGACGTATCTCATTAGACAGAATATAAATATATGATGAATATTAAGTATATAAAATATTAAATGTTAAGTTTCAGTATTTTTTTTATTTCATTTTTCTTTCTTAAATAATAAGTATTGTTTTTGGAAATTAAAGTAATTTTTTTCTTTTTTATGTTGCAGAATATGCAGAGTTTTTGCATTGTAAAGGTAAGAAATTCGTAGATTTTGACGAGGTACGGAAAGAAATTGAAGCAGAAACAGACAGAGTGACTGGAAGTAATAAGGGCATTTCTAATATACCAATTAATCTCAGAGTATATTCACCTAATGGTGAGTATAATAAAAAGGATGTTTTAAAAATAAATGATAATTTAAATTGTCACTTACTAATATACATTTATCTTTGTTTAGTCCTAAATTTGACATTAATTGATTTACCTGGACTTACGAAAGTACCAATCGGAGATCAGCCAGCAGATATAGAAGCCCAAATTAAAGCCATGATCTTTCAATTTATCAAACGTGAAAATTGTCTCATATTGGCAGTCACACCAGCCAATACTGATTTAGCTAATAGCGATGCTCTTAAACTTGCTAAAGAAGTTGATGCACAAGGTATTCAATTAGTTGCAATATTGGTATTAATTTGAATTTATATTTATTTGAATTTAACATTAATACACGATATTATAAGGTGTACGTACAATTGGTGTTATTACTAAATTGGATCTCATGGACGATGGCACCGATGCAAGAGATATCTTGGAAAATAAATTATTACCGTTGAGAAGAGGTTATATTGGTGTTGTCAACAGAAGTCAAAAGGATATAGAAGGTCGAAAGGATATCAAAAATGCTTTAGCCGCTGAGCGAAAGTTTTTTCTGAGGTATATGTGCGAATAATTTTGAAAATGACAGATGTAATTATTTTTCCTTTTTCTGGCCATATATAACTTTTGTTTTATTTGTTAGCCATCCGTCTTATCGTCATCTAGCAGACAGGTTGGGTACACCATATTTGCAGAGAGTTCTCAATCAACAATTAACAAACCATATCAGGGATACCTTGCCAGCTCTAAGAGATAGATTACAAAAGCAACAATTAACTTTAGAGAAGGATGTCGAACAGTATAAACATTTCAGACCTGATGATCCTGCAATCAAAACAAAGGCTATGTTACAGTAAGTGAATTTAAAATTTTATATATCATATATGCCGGTTTATGGTGCTCGTTTTCTTAGTGCTCGTCGTTTATTTATAGAAACTATATTGCAAAAATCACAAATGTGTATCTTATAGCAGAATATATCACATATATGTATGTACACATGTGTAATAACAAAATTCTTTTAATGAATGTATTTTGTATTTCACGTCTTCACATTATACATATATAAAGCAATAATCACGCAAATGAAATCATAATTCTTCTTTACCTTTTTATTTTTTATATTTTAATTTTGTGGGTAGAGGGTCTTGAAGTTTAGATCATTTGTTTTTCGTTTTCAGATCAATTCAAATGTATATGTAGGTATCCTTTTGTTTGCTCTATTAGTTTTATTTAACCAAAATAGCGTGTTTTTTGCCATTTGCATGAAATTTTAAGTAATTGAGAAATTATATTATTTTTATTATGCAAATGCTTTTTCAAGAATGAAGAAATAATGTGATGGCATAGAATTATTCTGCTACAAGAAAACTAACAAATATTTTTAATACTCTATGAAGTACTATATCTTTATAAGGATATAGTATGACATTTATACTATAAATTTGATTAGATTGTGATGCAATAACAGAGATTACTTCAAATGTGTTTTGTGAACACGGTAGATAACATCAAGACTCTCTATCTATATAACTAATACTTTATGACAGATTACATTACACAAATTAATAGAAAAACGTTTTTAAGGATGATACAGCAGCTTCAGTCAGATTTCGAGAGAACTATAGAAGGTTCAGGTTCAGCACAAATTAATACTATGGAACTCAGTGGTGGTGCGAAAATCAACAGACTTTTCCACGAGCGTTTCCCGTTTGAAATTGTTAAAATGGAATTTGATGAAAAAGAATTAAGAAAAGAAATTGCTTTCGCCATCAGAAATATACACGGTGAGTTTCTTTTGGTTTTATCATCATTTGACAAAACAAGTTAACAATTATTTGCATTTTAATACGATAGGTATCAGGGTGGGATTGTTTACACCAGACATGGCTTTTGAGGCAATAGTCAAAAAACAAATAAACAGACTTAAAGAACCAAGTCTCAAGTGTGTAGACTTAGTCGTGCAAGAACTTAGTAATGTTGTACGCATTTGTACAGATAGGGTAAGTCATGGATAATTATAAAATAATAAAAGATATAGGAATTATTAAATTCCAATGTTAAAATATGAGTTAATTATGCCATTTTTATATGTCGGTTTTTTAACATAACAGATGTCGCGTTATCCCAGACTAAGAGAAGAAACGGAACGTATCATAACGACATACATCAGGCAGCGTGAACAAATGTGTAAAGAGCAGCTGATCTTGTTGGTGGATTGTGAACTTGCATACATGAATACGAATCATGAAGATTTCATCGGTTTTGCGAAGTAAGTAGTCATTAAATATTTTTTGTTATATGTTATCTTAGTTTTCAAGTACTATTTACAGAGGTGTACAGTAGTCAAACATTTTCGGTTTTTAAGTTAATATATCTAGTTCTTACATGTCGGTTTCGTTATATTTATGCTTGATGCTGTTTTCTTATTTTTTATGTCAAATTTGATATAGCTACTAAATAGCAAGACACATTACATAATGCTGTTATAGTACTTAGACAAGATGTATGTTTTAAAAGACTGCTTTCTAGTTGAAAAGATATTAGCAACATATTCACGTGTATTGCATAAAGTTTTACGAAGTTTTTAATATTCCTTATATGCTGTAGTATATTTGTCATTTAAGATAACAAAGTATCAACTCTTATTTTAGAATACATGTGCAGTTTAGAAAAAATAATTTATCTAAAAACTATTTTTAGTAATTTTATGCTGTGAAAATTATAATCCTTAAATACACATTAAGATTAAAGTAGATGGTAGTAAGTCATACATATAGTTTGCTTAATGCTTACCAAAATATAAGTAATTATAAATAATTAACAAATATCTCTTGTTTTTCATATGTAAGAAAATTAAAATTTTTAACATTTTTGGAAAGATAGAAAGTCGTACTACACGTGATTAATATCTCAAATTATGTTTGCTTGTCATTATTTTTTACTCAAATTATCAGCGCATATACTTTCACAGTCAATGCATGTCTCGCTAAAATCAGTTCACATAGCAATCTATAATCACTCTAACATACTCAACTTGTCCTACCCTCAAAGCCATAGACTGCTCTAGAATTTGACAAGCAATGATTTTTGTAATTTTATTTTTAATGTACACTTGTATGACACTATAGGTTTGTTCTTTTACGCTGCACTATCTGTACTGGTGCACACATTGCAATAAATTGAAGTAAAACAAATATACGTCCGTTTTGCTTCAATTTATTGCATTGTGTTCACAGTGCAGCGAAAAAGAACAATCCTTATGTTAAAATTATATATAAGTACCTTTTATAAGAATTCTTCCATATATTTTTTGTTTAAAATACTTTTATTTGATTTCTGATTATAGGGTAATATATATTTCTAATTATAGAGTAAAAATCGGGACGATTTGATTGAGTTTCAACTTCAAAATAATACGAAAATTTACGATGGCACGCACGCAATATATATTTACAGTAATGTGTTTATAATTACGTTATACATACAATCATAATTATTCTTTTGAAAGTACAGATACAAGCTTCCAAATAATTAACATTTGCTGTTCAGAAACATGAACTTTATCGCGAGAAATGGCCAAAAAATTTCTCTACCCTATATTAAATTATAAACAGGGTGTGCTAGAATATTTAGGATTATTTTCATACACAGATAGAGCGAACTGAACTGAGTTGAAAAATTGTTGAAACTTCAATTTTTGTAATAGTTAACAAGTTATTAATTATTAAAAATCATCGGGTAAATATTGATAAAAGGGCTCCTTAAGAAAATACTGGGGCGATGGCCGCCGAACTTGATTGAGGTCGATTACAGTAGACTTTTCAAATACCAAATTCTGTCCCCTTCACCTCACCGCCCCGCGCGCAGATCAAATGTTGCTCGAGCGTCGTGCAGCATTTGGACCGCGCGCGGTGAGATGAGGGAGGCAGCGGAAGGCGGAGGCGATTCGAAAATCGGCCGAAAGTTACATACACTTTATGTATGTTCACTTTGTACTGGCACCTTTAATTAATAATATATCAGTTACTTTTCATGGTAATATATTATTATTAGATAAAAAGGTTTAAATTTTTGATTATCTTTTTTTGACCATGTACATGTAATGCAAAGAAAACACATTTATCTACCAGTGGTGTGTTTGACCTGTCAAAATGAAGTTGAGAAACATTCTCAAGATTAAAATTGGACGATATTCACTGATGATGGTCTGGAGAGATGAAATGTATGAAATAAAATTAATGGAAATTGAATAATTGTCTACATTTGATAATTTGTGCATCAATAATCGCACGTAACTCTCATATGTCCATTATTATCATAATGTATTAGTTCAATTATGAAAGTCTGAGAATTTTATTGATTTTTCAGTTTTCGCAATAGTTAATGAGTTATTAATTATTAAAAATCGCCGTATAATCTGGCCGTGGTCTATCGCTGAATGCAAGTGGACGGTGAGCTGTTCGGTATAGCCGTCTAGTGATCAAGGTTATATGTGCGTTTACATTCAGCAATAAATTAGTTAGTACCACAGTAGTAATAGTAATTTCGCCGTTAGTGTAACCTCAAATTTAAAAGTTTGTATGTCACTCTCTATTTGTTTTTGAGATTATGCAGCCCAATCTAGCCTCGCGCCCATACTATGAACTAGGCTTCTGAAACTGCTTATCTTTCCTTCTGGATCTTCGGGTCTATTAAACATATAGTCTCGAGATTTATATCTTTTACAGACGAGAGGGCAGTGGCACAAGATGTGCGAACTATTTCCTTGCTTTCCTCTTCGTACAACCGGCAGATCTTCTGCTCGATGAGTCTAAAATTAAATTGTGCTCCGAGAGGCATATGCCCTATGAGAAGGCCTATGTCCATTCTCAGTTTATCTCTTTTCCATTGCTGTCTTTTCTTTCATTTTAATAAATTTGGGATATTTTATTAGTTGCTTTGACTGTCGGCAGCCCTTCACCACTTTCCAAGAGCTCAAATGCTCCTGTTTCAGCGTCTTTTTAATGTATCTTTTATTCATGGAAAAAGGGATTTGTTTATCTGATCTACTTCGATCCTTAGTTTAATTGGTCCGTCTGCCTTCTCATTTCTAAGCATTTCTTGGTATCCAGGAACCCATGCTGGGGTAACTTCGTTTGTTTTCCATAGGTTTGCTAGAATTTACATACAGTCCTATACTACACATGATTCTGTAGAGGTCTTAGTTGGTGTTTCAATGGTTACTCTACTGTCTGAGCAAATGTGGATACAGCACCCATTATTTTTATTTAATAAGATTTCTGCACATTTCTGGATGGCCAGTACCTTAGTTTGAAAGACCTAGGCTAGTTCACCCATCGGTTCACCAATCACTTTCTTCATGGCTAATTTTAGGCCAATATTTACACGCTCCAAAGCGGCCGTTTACTCCTGACCCGTTCATATACCAAGTGTCCAGATTCGGATTGATTAAGAAATTAGAATTTTGCTAGTCCTCCCTAGTTAGTATCTAGACTTTGAAGGCCTTCTCCAGATAGGTATCCTATCTTTTAGTGTCAAGGGGTGTCTGTTAAAAAGTCCCAATCTAGTATGGCCAAATCTAGTCTCTCTTCAATTATTCTGACACATTAATCTGTATATTATTTGTCCGACTGCTAATAACCATCTGATTTAATTAGTATGATTTTCATGGTTCTCAGGTATCCCCCTTAAAAGTTTTTGAGCAAGTTTCTCGCATTCACCTTCTCCACCCTAGATCATCACATCATTGTAGCATATGTTAATCTTGATGATAAAATCATTTTGTATAACCATTTTGTATAGGGCAGTTTTAGGATTTAAACTCTTATTTTTGTTCATCACCCTTCTACAATAAATCCACATATTAAAATTTGTTCCTTTTTTTCAAGGTATATACTCCAGTTCTGTTGTGCATTTAAGCGAATATTCAGATGTGAATTCATATAACTTATCACTCTAGAGCTTTGAAGACTCGATTGGTTCAGGCTTGTATTTTTTTAGTAAAAACAATGATTAGAGTCTTGGTTATGTTTACTATCAATTTCCTAGTTTTGCACCAGTTCTGAACAATCTTCAAGGTTTCGTCCATGCATTCTTTGAAAATTGTGAGAAAGTTTCCCATAGTTACTATGGCTTCGTCATCCATATAGTCATAGACCTAGAAGCCTGCTTTTCTCGGTTTAGTAGGTAGCTCATCCACCACGAGCGATCTGTGTATGAAAATAATTCTAAATATTCTGGGACATTGTATAATATTATATATATATATATATACATAGTCTACACACACTACACACACACACAAAATATATTTATTTAATTTTTTTGTTTAGTTTATATAGTTAAAAATTCAATTGTATTATATATTACCATTTATAAAATTTTCTAAAATATCTCTAAATACCTAATAAAATTAAAGTTATTTAAAATTTAAATAAAATTGATCGTTAAAGAATAATAAATTTATAGTAAATATAACGATGATTTTTATCAAAAAAATAGCTTCTTAAGTTACTATGGAATTATAAAATTACATTTGCACATATTACATTCTTGTGTAGCTAAAATTGAATCTTATTGTTATGGCTATAGCAGTATTTCCGTATAATTTATGCTATATTTTTAATCTTTGCTTTAAATAAATGATAATGTTTTTAAATATTAATTCTATATAAAAAAATTATAGTTATAAAAAAATTGCATTAGGTACTAACAATGTAAAGCTAATATTAGATAAATATAAGCCTATAACTGAATAAGTATAATAAGAGTATAAATTTAGTAATGATATTGCTGAAATGAAGTGTCATTTGCTTGATTTTGTCGTTAATATTGTATCATTGGGGACGAGGCATACAATTCTTTTGTATTGTATAAAAATATACATCTTAAATCCTCTTTTTAATATATATGTATATATATATATATATATATATGCATATATACATTAAATCTCATTTTACTTAACTTTTGACAAGAAGTAAAATTAAATGATAAATTGTGATACATACATTATAACTTTTTAAATGTATAAGATTATGTACGCCTCACCCTAATTAAAATAATATAGTCTTATCCTGAGATATTCTTCTTTTTTCTCATCAATTTCTTCAAATTTTACAATTAAAGAAATGATTTAATTATATCGGCAGCGCTGCAGCCAGTAGCCATAATGTAAGGTAAGAATATTAAAGTACATTTCAACAAAAATTTACACAACATTTTTATCCTCTTCCATTTTCACGCTCTTTCTTTCTGATGCTTATCCTTCTTTTAATATCTTACTTCGTCAACTTACAACTTTAAGTTGAAACATTAATGTATTGAGCCAAATTTTAATAGTTTTTAGTCTGATATTTTTTAATAAATATTTCAATTATTTTTTAATCATTATTTTTTTTATTATTTTATTTATTAACATTTTAATAATTTCAAAACAAGCAGAGTATATAGTATGCATACATACATTATATACATATATATAGTATATATGTATACGTGCATGTGCGTGTAAACTACATATATATATATATTTATATACACAGTATTTTCCATAAGTTTGGAAACAAACCTACGTTTAGTGGTAAACAATTACATGACAGTGATCTATACAATTTTTTATTTAAGGTGCGTTCGGCAATGTAAATCTGAGATGCGAGGTAGCAGATGGTGAGCTTGATCACGTGATCTTCGAGCAAATCAAGTACCTAAAATTAATTTCGAATGATACAGAGCTGTCATAGTGGGTTTATGGACACTTCACCTTTTACCATTTCATCGTTCGACGTTTCATCATCGTCACTTGTTCGTAATTATTCGTAATAACATTTTACCGAAGAAGTGTCGCGGACGGATATGTCCTTACGGCACGCAAAAGAATTTAAACAAAAAAAAAATGTTTTAAAACAAACAGTAGACGGTTAAATGTTGTGGACGAAAAAATATACTAGATATTAGACGGTAAACTTGTCTTATGAACAAGTGACGACGATGAAATGTCGAATGAAGTGTCCATAAACCCCATGCATAAACCGTCATAGTATCATTTAAAGTTATGGTAAATGTTAAGATCCCAGCCGTCCCAAATTTTGATAAAAATGCACTCAATCGATGTGATTTCGCGTAAAAATAGACTTTACAAGAAAAAAAAGCGTCACTCTGTCTTGTGAACTGAGATATTAATTATTATTAAAGTCGACAACTATTCAGATTAAGAAATCTGTCACAGCAGTGATTCTAATAAAACATAAACTCACTGTTTTAGCAAAGTATTTGTTTTTAATGCAGAAGATTTGTTTTTAAAGCAGTGAACCATTACTGTGACAAATTTTTTAACTTGAATACAGATTTATAAGCCATTGACTTTAACGATTAATATTCCGATTCATAGGGCAAAGCAACTTTTTTTTTTATTGTCAAATCTTTATTTTTATGCGAAAACATATTGATTGAGTGTATTTTTATCAAAATTTGAGAGTCTTCTTAACATTGAGGTTATAATCTGAAAGATTATATTCAATTTAGGCGCAAATCTTGCATTAGCTCTACGAGCTCGGTCTTTGAATCCGGAGTGGATTGAGGAGCTCGATTAGCTCTAGAAATATTAATACCGAACGCAGATGAGATAACATGTAGCAGAAAGATACGAGTTGCCGAACGATTTCCGAAGTGAAACAGCAAACGGATGCTTCTGATTTGCAATACCGAACGTATCTTTAAATAGATCATAAGACATCCAAATTACGATGAACATTTTCATCTAGAACATCTATGAACTTGTACACTCCGAATATGTCGGAAATTATTTCTATCTTGAGACGCGATTCATACGAAATCTGATTCTTCGGGGCCATTTTGAATGACTGTTGTAGTTTTTACAGTTTTTACTGAGTCTGAAATCTACTTGCAATTCAAACAGTTTACTATTCTAATAGAAACCGTGAAAGTACAATTAAACGACCTGTGATGTGTATTCACAATGCATGCAAGTGCGACGTGGCAAAAGGAGTAATAATAAATAAACAATAGACCAGAGTGCAAAATTCAACCTTGTGCGCCCCAATACTGTGAAATAATTGTCCGACATATTTTCGGCATGTAGAAGCTGTTCTAGATAAAAATGTTTATCGTAAGGGCGTCTATTTAAATCAAAAACATGTATAGATCGCTGTCATGTAATTGTTTACCTCTAAACGTAGGGTGTTTCCAAATTTATGGAGGGTACTGTATATTATGTCTTTTTCATTTATTAATTTTTAAATACTGCAATAAATTGTGATATTAGAAACAAAGATTTATATCATTTATAATATACAATGGAAAATTAATTCTTAATTGATTTTCTTTAAACTTTAGATTTACATTTTTTAATCGAAATCAGAGAAAAAGTTATGCCTGTAATTTAAATTTGCTACTGATTTCACAGTATATAATTAAAAATTCTGCATAATATTAAAATCATGGAATGCAGCACGTTGTTCTTATAATCTATCATACATTTAATCTTTTTTGTATTAGTTCATTACTATTTTTTTTCTTTGCAAATTTATAAATTGGCTTTATTTTAAATTAATATAAGGTTTTCTCGTTTCTGTTGTAAGTTATGAGAAAAATTAGAACTCTTAATGAAACGTATGAATGAAAGTATTTATTAAAGTCACCTACCATTATTCATGATACGTTTAGACTGTAATACAGCAACATCACATTTATAATCTGTTTTTGATGGATGTAATATGTGCTTATGCAATCAACTTTTCATAATTTTTTTGCACATATCGGAAATTGTTGTAATGTCGTCTAACTGATAACTACACTATGTTTTTGTGATACTAGTGTTATTTATATGGCAAATGTGCGCTTAGAAAATGTTGAAATCATGTAAAGCATAAAATGCATGAAGTAATATGACAATACATACACAATTATTCTTATAAATTTCGTTATTTTTAAGGTAAATATTTGCTCAGTGGTCTTTTTCAAAATAGATGTATAAATTGATTTATAAAACTTCTATATAATTACACTTGTATATATAATTACACTGCTAACTCCTCACTTTTTCTTATATAAAAGTACTATATGTGCAAATTACATACGCACATTAAGACCGTCACGTACAAAAAAGAGCTAATAGGTATCATGTGATCAATCTCTCCGCGATTGATTCAAGATGTTGTATATCCTTTGATTGGTCCAAGACGTCGTATACCTCTTTGTGATGTCTGGTTTTATTTTACGCATGCGTTCATACTTCTTAGGACAAAATTAGTAGTCTAATGTAATATCCAGAAATCTGTGGTAAAGAGAGTATACACAATCCATCTTTATTCTGTATATATTATTTTCTATGTATAATAAAAATATTTAATTTATGTAATAGTTTATGTATAATTGAAAATGTGTAACGTAAATACTGTTATAATAAGCAAACGTTAATTTTATTTCTTTCTACGGTATAGTACGTTTGTTTAAAACATGGATGCTAAGACTTTGCTGTTTTTTTTATTCATAAATGATTATATAATGTAAACTTGATGGCAACAATCTTTGCAGTTGAATATATAAAATTTTTATTTTTCATTATACACTATTATTTATGTTACAGTGCGCAGCAATCCTCGGAAAATGCTGTTAAGTCTGGACGGCATACATTAGGCAATCAAGTAATTCGTAAAGGTTACATGTGCATACATAATCTCGGTATTATGAAGGGTGGCTCGAGAGATTACTGGTTTGTTTTAACATCAGAAAGTATCTCCTGGTTTAAGGATGAAGAAGTAAATATTGCTCATAATTATTTATCTATTTATTTAAATTGATGTTAAAAATAATACAAATTGTAATATTTTATATTGCAAAAGAACTATTATCATCCGAAAACAATGTCAAATCTGATATATTTTTATGTATAAAGGAACGTGAAAAGAAGTATATGTTACCTTTGGATGGGCTGAAATTGCGTGATTTAGAACAAGGTTTCATGTCGCGTCGTCATCTATTTGCGTTATTCAATCCAGAAGGACGAAATGTTTATAAGGATTATAAACAACTGGAGTTGAGTTGTGAAACACAAGATGATGTTGACTCTTGGAAGGCATCATTCCTCAGAGCTGGTGTATATCCCGAAAAATCAACAGAGCAAGCAAATGGTGAAGAAGTGAGTCTATCATTTATCGAAACATGATTAAATAATTGTCTAAATGCTATTTATGAAAAATATAATTTATGTTTTTAATTTATTTATCGAAAATTTAAATCAGTTTCACAACAATGTTTATATTTAAAATGAAAAAATGTTTATTTGAATGAAAAAAAGAATTTTTTTTCTATATTAATCTGTTTTATGATGCGTTAATTTCTTATTATATTTATTAGAATTTATTTCAATTTATTTTAGGATAAGCAGAGGGTGAGTTAATGAAAAATAGAAAGATTTTTGTTTTTGATTCTTTAACTGTGTAATGGTTTGAATTATAATACATTTGTTCAGTGCAACTAACAAAAAGAATTACTTTAGAAAAATAGGCTTTATTTGATTTTTATGATCGCAATTAGGATAGAATTGAAGTGCAAAATTTTCTATGCTAAAATTATTTTTAATATTATTTTACACACGTGGATATTGTTTTTTAATAAATATATTTTTTAATATTTTTATTGTCTTCTGAATACTATTGACTTTATTTGAAATGTCTATATAGAGGTACATCGGTTTTTATATATACGTTTATAAAATGAACTACAATAATAATATAATCTTTTGTATTGAGCGTATAATAGAAACCGTTCTCTTTTTGTCTCATATTTAAATCAACTAAAAAGGAAGGATATGAGGTTGGTACAATCGTGTTTTCTCAATTACAAAGCGCATGACACTTATAATAAGCATCGGACACCTCTACAATCAAGCACACTCTACCGCAGAAAATTCTAACATCATAGAATATTATTTTATATTTTGATTATATTCCCCTACATTTGGTCAATACTTGTTACATCTCATAATACTGCGAATGTTATTTGATATATGCCTTCCTAATATATGCCTTAGTAATTAAAATTGAAAACATTTTAGTTAAAAATATATAAGTATAATATATAGAATTTAAATGATATTATTTTTATTCCTTTAGGGTGGGTCAGAGGGTCAATCATCAATGGATCCTCAATTGGAGCGTCAAGTGGAAACTATCAGAAATTTAGTAGATTCTTATATGAAGATTGTCACGAAAACTACTCGTGACCTGGTTCCAAAGACAATTATGCATCTTATTATCAATAACGCTAAGGACTTCATCAATGGGGAACTGTTGGCACATCTTTATGCAAGTGGCGATCAGGTAAAACATGTTAATGTAATATGTATTGTGTTTGTATAGCAGTTTATTGCAAAATCAATTTTTTCTTAAAGATTTTATAAATTTTTTTTCAATGATAAAATAAATAATTTGACAATATTTATGATTGATCCTGTAAGTGTATCTTACTTTTCATCTTTTTTTTTTGAGCATTTGGATCAAGAAAAACATGTTTATTATTTTTTTAATACAATAAATTTAATTCAACTTTTGACTAGGATTAAAGTTTTGAATATAATTTTTGTCAAGAAGTAATGATGTGTGAGAAAGGTCAAATGAGAGTTCGTGGTAATAATTACGTAATGTAAAATCGTTTAAAATTTTATTTACTATTCTTCCTTGATATCAATATATTGGACATTTTGACTCACATTGGTGTCCTCTTCAGCAAATGTAAATTAGATTGATTCTTGTCAAAATATTGGGAAAATTACTTTGTAAAAGTAACTAGTTATAGTCACAGTTATCTTTATTTCAAAAAGCAAGTAGTTACCATTACAAAATATTGACTCTAAAAAATAAACCTAAAAGTTACAAGTAGTTACCCGAAAAGAAACTTCTGTTATTTTTCATTATTCTTATTTTTTTTCATTATTACGAAACAACATATTAAGGTAACATGTTGTTACTATTAAGATCAAAGAAAAAGATTGATTTATGTTTTTACATGTTATACAATTTATTTTTCATTACGCGTGCACGTAATGTGCCCTATACTTCAACGCTTTTGCGTACGGGAAATAGCCAATACCTTAAGTCGTTGAGTTATTTCTCTAACCCCACTCTTCTGCGCAAAAATGTTTCGGTATAGGCACATTACGACGAGCACTTGTAATGAAAAATTCTATGTGTAGCGAGTGGGGGCATATTTGTTTATAGGTCGGCACGGGCACTTAACATTGTTAAGTTAGAAACACAGAAAAACATAAAACTATAAGATGTAAGCAGTAAGCGGAATCGATCAATTACAGTAGAAAATGTAAGATAGCAATTTTACGTTTTTTACTGTGATTGTTTTGCTTATTGTTTACGTCTTCCTTACGATATTCATACAGATAATTTGTTTTTATGTCCGTCCGCAATAAGAGTAATACTCGTTTTGTATAATAAGCAGTAAGCTGCAAAATTGATCAATTCTAATTGATTATTATTCTCCTGGAGATATATTCTATTCGATTGTGATGTCAATTTCTCATGATTTATCTACTATGTCATATTACTCCCATTATAAACGGCTCTTTAGAAATAAAGAACCAATAGATATTGACAATAAGCAGGACTAAATTGTAAAATTATTAATGTGATATTCAAATAGATAATTAGCTTACGAGAGATAAAGAACCTGCAGCGGATATTAGCAATAAGTAAAATTACATTATTATTTGTTTTCTGAATGCAGGCTTTGTCTTCTATGCAATCAGTAGCGACAGTAGCACAAATATTCAGATTCTAATCAATCACATTAAATGACGAATTAATTTTAAATGTGTAAAGTAACTGTGAAAGTAATTCAAATTAGTTAATAGTTATTAAAAGAAATGTAATTAAATTAAAAATTACAGTTACACTGAGAAAAGGAACAAAGTCAAGTTAAAGTTACTAAAAGGAAAAGTAACTCTAATTTATAAAAAAAACTAGTTGTTTCTCAACCTTGGTCCTGGCATTTGTGTGTTTGATTTTTTTTATCTATGTCTCTATATTTTTATTTAAGAAAGATTGATGTGTATATATTATTATAGGCTTCAATGATGGAAGAATCTCCTGAAGAAGCACAGAAACGAGAGGAGATGTTACGCATGTATCACGCGTGCAAAGAGGCTCTTCGTATCATTGGAGATGTTTCTATGGCCACAGTTTCAACTCCAGTACCACCACCCGTAAAAAACGATTGGCTGATATCCGGCGACAATCCAAGGTAACCCTTATGTTATTCCTAAAATGGCCTATCGCGTATTTTACTAATTTATCATCCTTACATTTTGTACCGTCTGCTTTGCCATACATTTGAACACCGTTGAAACAGTCTTGGGTAAGATTTTTTATATATGACGTATTTATCTTTTTTTTGCTCTAACGAACTGTATTATTGAGAATGCTTTTTTAATTAGTAAATTTTTCTGAGTAGCGATATTCTTATACAAATATTAAGTTACATTAGAATTTAATTATTTATCAATATCTTAGTTTATCAATCAATATTTCATATCTCTTTGTTTACAACTATTTTATTGTTTATATCTTTGAATAATAATATTAAAAAATTATATACTATCACATATTAGAAGATTTTGTGCGTTAACTTCTTTTGTGCACATATAAAATTTATATCTTTTCTTTTTGTTCATCATTTGGAAGAAAGTGTTTGACGCGTTCAAATGATACAAGAGTTTATTATAAACCAATTGTAAACATATTGTACGTTTTAGATTATCACCACCATCTCCTGGTGGTCCAAGACGCGGAGTGACACAGCCACCACCTATTTCTAGCTCTCGAGCACCACCACCAGTACCTGGAAGCGGCCGGCCAGCACCAGCCATTCCTAATAGACCTGGTCCAGGTGGACCACCACCAACACGAGCTAACCCTGGCCTACCTCCACCTATGATACCATCGTGAGTACAATATAATTTTTGAGTATATAGAACTTAAAACTCTATAAAAATTTTAATCAATTGTATTAGAGAAAAAAAACATTTCAATTCATATATCGCTATTTTATTCTATTGATCGCAATTCTTGCTAAGCTAATCTGCACACAACAAATTTTAAGTCACACAATAACGTTTCTTGTTGATTGTGTGTTTGAAATATAATGATGCAATAAGGATGTAAAAATGATATACAATCGTAAACGTAAAATTTACAGCTTTCTTCAAGAATCTTGCTCGAGTATATTAAACAGTAGTTTTTGTGATGGGGCTTTTGGGTGCTAACTTCCCTTTCTATTGCAGGCGCCGACAATAAGTCTTCGCACTAACTCGCCTATTTGCTACTAATCAATACCGTATCTGTTGCATTATAGACAGTGTATATTTTACACAAAATACACTATTTCTCTCTTTCCTAACGTTATCGTTATTGTTTACATATATTATGAGAGATTACATGATCAATGTTAATTAAGTAGGAGTGTAAAAATAATACGAAAATTATTCTAATTATATAAGCCCTGCACTTTTTTGTGTTTCTGGAATCTAATTGAGCTTCCAAATGTCAATCAATTTTTTTAGTGTATTTCAGCAATGTAACACAACAACGACAATTTTTAAGTGATTAAGATTTGAAAAAGAATAAGGGTAATTGTATTATTCCTCTATGATATTATTTATTTAATATTTATATTGCGTGAATATAATAATTTTTAGTTTAATATATTCATACATATATATATATATA